TGTATTTCTCAAAGATGGACCACACTATTTTATTTGCGGTCTGTTTAGCCCGTCAGGAAACTTTTGATATCCCTGTTGTCATCCTTGCTACGTGTACACATTATAATCTCTATAACTGGAAAACGGCAGATACAATATGTATTTCTGCTTATTTATACGTGTGCGTGCAAACCTGAACTCTGAAGCTGACGACCTGTGGCTCACAGGTCAGGCCCTGAACCACGGAGCTATATTTAATTACAAACCACAACGCCATTCCACAAACCGAAAATTAGGTATCATTATATACAAAAAAATAATCTGTAACTTTATTAGTAATGCTGTAACTAGAAAATGAATAAGTACCTACGGGCTAGTTTAAATAATAACAATTTTGTATGTTTTAAACTGCGTTCTAGTTGCAGAGATTTCTTTGATGGTGTGTATAATGTTTTAACCAATTTATGACAAAATATTTTGCATTATTTTAACTAACAAATAAATTAAAAACTTGTATAACATATTGCCTGCACGCGATCCCTGGTTCTTTTTTTTATGGCATATGCCGAGCCGGTAAACGAGTAGGTGGTAAGCAATCGGCGTCGCCCATGGACACTTAAAACACCGGAGGCGTTACAAGTGCGTTACCGGCCTTCTGAGTATTAGGGATTCGAGGATTATTGGTGATTCGGAGATTAGGGGCATTGAGAAGACATGTAATTCGATCTCCGCACACACATCTCCCCACATTACTTTGTTTTATGTTGGTTTTCTGTATGGTAGTGAAATCATATCATTAGAGTTAATATTAGATATTTGTTTTACAGTAACATACTGTTTACCTATACATATTGTATCCCATCTTCATATATAAGACACAAAATTTACATATATAGTTTTATTGCTTATTCAAATCTACCTACCTATATATATTTATCTATTCCATACCTTTTTATTAGTTTTCCAAACAGGGAAGTCGGTGCCAATTCATAAATTCTGCATTATGTATTTTCATTGTGATTTCAAATCAATAATCCGACAATATCGATTTATGGTGCAATAAATGACGTTATTTTATATATAATCCTATACACTATGTGACCTACAAATTAATTTAATTATTCATCAAATCAAAATGTCACGAGATTTCGGCGTAAATGCGAGTTTTTTTTTCATATTTTTAAGGAAACTTGTTTGTACCTGTTCTTTAAAGTTGTATTTAATACACCGTTATAAATATACTAGTTTCTTCATATAGGAAATGAAACTTATATCCTATTATCTAGAATTATTAATTTGTAAATGTGATCGTTATTTTGTGCATTTTGGTGAGCGTATTAGGTAAAACATGAATAGTATAATTATCGCTATATATGTTATGAGTTCCATGTAATAGAAGGTGAGCCCATTGCCATATGCAATGGGCTCACCTTCTATTACATGGAACACAATTTCAAACTCCGTGCTACTCCTGAGCATTTTTTTAAAAACTCAGTAATACTTTGCCCGACCCGGGAATCGAACCCGAGACCACTTGCCCGATAGTTGTAATTGCGACCACTCGGCCAGCGAAGCAGTCATATCATATCTAGATATATATTATAGTAATATATTAATGACAATTAAAAAAGCGACTTCAAAATAACAAACAAAAAGTCAAAACTGAAAAACCAAAAATTAACTATTATTACTATTATTAGTACTGATAGGTTACCCACCCACTGATAGGTTAGAAGTCGGTACCATAAGTTCTATACAAAATTATTCATTAAAACCTTAATAGATATCTTATTTACAATTTTGTGGCCATTAAGTTATATCATTATGATATGAGCTACAATTTTCAAAACTTCCCCTGGGTTTCCCTAGGATTCCATCATCAGATCTTGACCTCATGGAAATGGGACCATTTCGGGAGTATACCCTTTCAAACAAAACAAGAATTTTGTAAATCGGAAAACAAAAAAAAAAAAAAAAACAAACAGTATCTCCTCCTTTTTTTTGAAGTCGGTAAAAATTTCATATAACTATGGAATCAATTGTGGAAAGAGTGAAGTGGCGATAAATATTTTTTTACTTACCTACAACTAAATATAATATACTTATAAGATTATTAATCAAAGGTAATCAGCACTAGTAATGAGCATGCTGGCCAGGTGTAATCGATATTAACAGCGGATGTAACAAGATTCCATCAACGATAAGTTATGCAGTCGGCTCTTTGACTATATGATTATCAAGATCATGTACGCACAATGTGCTTAGTCCAAGGTGTGACATATATATGAGTAATTCTATGTATTTATACTAAAGGTAAGGAAAACATAATATGTTTGATGCGTTACCTACGTTATTTTTTCTGATTTTCCCCTATCCTTATTTCTTTATTTCTTATGGTAATTTCAGTAGTAAATACTTTAGTTTTGATTAATTTTAGTCCTAGTTATGTATTATTTAGTTTATATTTACCTATATATTATATCGTATATATAAAACTAAACTACATATATTTGAACAGTATTATTATATTCTTAATGCATATCCCACCACTATTTACCAATAAAATTTATTTCATTATTCTTTAAAAAAAACAATAAGTATATATGTAGATGGATGCAGGTCGTTCTGGAAGTACTTGCTCCCGAAAGTGTAAGGCGAAGGTTTGATAATGGACGCCTTAAGACTAACATGAATGTGACTAAAATGAATTGAGTATTTTTGGGATACATTTCAGTATTTTAAAATATATCTTCTATAAAAAACCCTTTCCGTTTATGAAGTCGATTGATTAGTATCTATACTAAAATTTTCTTCTAAATGTAACATACACTTTTCTGAAAACCATATGAAAAGCGGTTCAGTCAATCGTGAGATAGGTAAACATAATTTTGTTGAAATCGGTTATGAATACTTAAAAGAATTGGATATTTGCAAAACTTTAATCAAAAACAAATTACAATTCAACTGTTCAGTATAATAAAGTATTAAAAAATAATCACACTTTCATTAATTGATTTTGTGACCAACTTAAGTAATAATTTAAGTATTATTCTAGCAATTTTTTAAGAAATAAGTATGCTGTCTGACGCTACAAAAACGTGACGTCACAATACACAATCTCGTACCTACAAAATTCATAGAAAACTGTCGTTTTTGACAGCTCGAAAAAAGTATTGAATTTGACTAGTTGTCAAGTATCCAATTCTTAAAAAGTGATTATTACATTTGAACTGTACACATGTTACGTAATTTCGAAAATTATCCCGAAGCTTGATACTAAGCCACTTAAACTGTCAAACACCGAGCGGTCACCGGTGACCGCTACCTATTGTTCTTTAATTGTGTCTATAATGATGGTACTCAACGAGTTAAATTATAATACATGGTCCATAAGTTATATACAACCTTGCTATTGATACTCGTAGTATTATACATAAACTATACTTGTATCAATGTGCCATTAACCTAAATACTCGAACACTTAGTACAACAGACATATTCGAATTACTACATCATTCATTACATTTATTTGAATAAACTTTATTTATATTTAAACGCCACATACTAGGCTCATGAGGCAATTACTAAACCTTACTTTCTTCATTAAGGCAGTAAAATATTTCTAGTTTTATCTCATGACTTTGTCTGTGTAAAAAAATTCTGTGTGTTTTCACAGGGCTGTAAGACTTGTGGGAATTCCGTATGGAGGGTTCAAAATTCATAAAAAGTAGATATTTGATAAGGAATCAGTGAAAACGACATTTTTTAATGATACACATGTAACTTATTTTTACATCATTCCGAATCCCTTAGAAAAAAATATTAAAATAATAGTTGTTACAAGAAACATTTGTTACAGAATTTATTTTAAAGACTAGCTACTTCCACGCGGTTTCAATCGTTCTGCTCGGCGCCTATTATTCATAGCACGATATTTTATAGCCTATAGCCTTCCTCGATAAATGGGCTGTCCAACGCAGAACAAATTTTTCAAATCGGACCAGTAGTTTCGGAGATTAGCGCGTTCAAACAAACAAACAAAAAACCAAACTTCAGCTTTATAATATTATAGTATAGATATAGTATAGATACCTAGTGAGGACAACAGGAAAAAATAAAAAGCATTTTAATTTTATGAACGGATTATAAAAAAAAATCCAACTCAAACAATCCTAATGTGTTACGATCAAACTGAACAGTAGATGGGATTGCCATCGTCACATAAAATGTACAATAATCCCTTAACAAAATTAACTAGTATTGAAAAAACAATTAAACAGTAAAATTTCGTTTAATGAAAGAAATTGACACGTTTTGCCAAATGAAATCTAACATTAACCTTGGGGCAAACAAATAAATAAAATAAAATGTTCAAATTAGTGTCATATATATATATATATATATATGTATAATATGTTTATTTGTAATATACTCTAATATGTGTATTATTTGATGTGTATCTATCATATGTATGTATAGGTTTATGTATTTTATTGTGATCTATTTATTTAATACATTTCATGTCATGTTACGCACAGTGTCTCTGTTTTTACCGTTTTTCTGTCGAAGGACTGCAGGAAGAGATTCCTACGGAAATATGTAGTACCTATGTACCTCCAATTTATTAATATATGTGTTCTCCTGTGTACTGTCTGTGTGTTGTGCATAAATAGATAAATAAATAAATAAATCACAAATAAACACAATATTCAAAACAACTTAAAAGAAGCTTGTAAAAAAACAAATATTTATAAGATAAAACAGTTACAAACTTCTAATATTTTCTTCTAACCCGTATGACTTTTAACTTCATATCTTACTTTACTAAACTTAACCCAAATACAAAACACTAGAGATCAACGACCAACCCAACCACAGCCCAATACAGATTGAAAATAAATCTAAAACACGGATGTGGTCAATCCTAGAAAAATTCACCGAATCGCGTTCACCTTGTAGACTAGCAAATCATATTGAAGACTAAAGCTTCTTTGTTGCAAAATAATGCAAATGCCGCTGCTTAGAACCATAATCGAAGGAAGAGGATGAGGTATAAAACCGCCGCTCGTTTATTCTATAATCACAGTTATACATCGTCTGTTAACTTTGACACACAAGATGGTGAGTGAAGAGTTGCATCACCGGCTGGTATTTGAGAGCGGCACCCATGTGACCGACTCATGTGCTAAGCTCAGCCAGTTTACAACAATACTCTAATCAATTCTAGTGCTTGTGAAAATAAAGTGACAAAAAATTGAATCAAAGTGACTAAAGGATCATTGTTTTCCAGAAATCCTTCGTAGCTCTCCTCGCCGTCGTGGCCGTAGTTGCCGCTGATGTCTCCCACCTGGTGCGCAACCCTGAGGCTGACGCCCAGATTCTGAAGCAGGTCGCCGATGTCCTCCCTGACCAGTACAACTACTCCTACGAAACCAGCAACGGTATCGCTGCCCAGGAATCCGGAGCCCTCAAGAACGTCGGCTCTGTAAGTAGCTTATACGACTAAAACTAGCTCACAGTATCCGACTTACCCTTTGTTATTACATCATCGATTCATAATGTAATTAGAAACATAAAAATAATGTATGTTAGCGTGTAAAATGCACATTTAAAAAATACCGGATTTAGCAAAGCTAATAAAACTCATTTTACTAATTAAACAATGAATGATGTGTAAAAAGCAAACTAGTAGAGCAATAAAAGAATAATACTTTAAAACTGTACTGGTCTACGCAAATAAAGGCCACCCGTAGATGACATTTAAGTCAGCAGATGATGTTGCGTACAAATTATGTTAATATATTTATTTTATTGAACCTTGGTATTTCGTTTAAGGTCAACAATGTACGCAATAGTCGTATTTAAGTTTTAATCATAAATCATTAGTATTGTACTTGATTTAGATTTGAATATGAAATCTGCACCACATGTAATAGCAAAAAAACACCACAAATACAAAATATTAGTTTTAGAATGTCGGTACTTGTTCTAAAGAGTGTCATCTGGTTTATTTAGGACGCCGAAGCCATCGCTGTCCAGGGTGCTAACTCCTACACCGCCCCCAACGGTGAGCGCATCGCTGTGACTTACGTCGCTGACGAGAACGGATACCAACCCCAGGTAAATATCAAGCACAAACATAATTGTAGACAAAAAGTCCTCAGGTCCAGCGAAAAACTATATGGAAGTTACAAACATAAAGCTTCTCCCAATGTCCCAAAAGTATAAAACTTATTTAAAAAAAAATCAGAAAATAACCTACTTTATCCATTCATTCTAGTTATTTATTTAGTTGTATATATACCTCTACATATATTCTACTTATATTTTATTTAGTTGTTTTCACTATCAATTGATTCACTACTTCATTTATATCTGAGTTGTTTATAAAACCATTTGTTCGGATTCCATAATAGTTTAAACAATTGGTTATTAAGGAAGACTTACTACATCTACTAGTTTACTATAATTTTTTCCATCTTGTGCTAATATTGTTTGGTGTTGTTACAGGGTGCCCATCTCCCCGTTCCCCCCGCGCCTCAGGAAATCCCCGAGTACATCGTCAGGGCTCTTGAGTACATCAGGACCCACCCCCCCAAGGAAGAGCCCATCAGAAGGGTTTAAGTTAACCTTTAGAAAATAATAAGTAAAACAATACATTTCTAAACACTGCCAATCTTTCCACCTCTAGTCGCAATATGTATGTAAATTTCAAAAAATAAAAGGATTTCTTGTTGTACAGTCAACTTTGTTTTTCCTTTCCTATTTGATTTATCAAAGGTATCATTTACAATAACGGGTAACCGGGGCTCCGGCTCGACGTGCAGGAGAAGGAACGGGGTAGTTTTTAGTCAGTAAGAGTCTGACACTCCCTCCCGCCTCACCCAGGCGGGAGCAGTCATTCGATGATTTTCCCCCCTTAAAAAAAACTACTACTAAAAGAACTGTGCGGTTACTGATATCTTTCATTCAAATACGAGTCTCACTATCAACACTAGTCTATAAAATCTAGAATGAACTTTGACGTCACACAAAAAACTTCCTGCTACACCACAATATCAATTTTCTATACAAAAAATAAGTTTACCTATATTAAAGTTAATAGCGCTTTTAGACACCATCAAAATCAATTTGACCTCGACCCTAAAATGGCGTCACACGTATGAGTCCAGTTTATTTCACTTGGCTACTCAAATGTTATGCATGTTACATGTATGGTGATAACTGTCGCAAGTCACGCCATACGACCATCAACTTAAAGCGAATTGTGTAAAATGTCGTTATTGTTTTATTACTTTTAATCGTCTAGGACAAAGTTTTCATGAAGTTATTTTTGTTACTTACCAAAGAATTTAATGCTCTGTGTTTTTCTCTTACTCAAAACAAGAATAAGCTTTGGATTACATATCTCATATAATGATGGTAGGATAAAGTTCGGTCATCATCACAATTCGATGATGTTTTGATTACATTAATGATAATACAATTTCTTTTTATTTTGCCCGGTATATGACAATAGGCTTACTCCCTATTACATGGTACTCATATTATAAATAGTGAAAAGTGGGTGTTACATTGTATTGTGGCATTAAGTGCCGTAATATGTACCTATGCCTTCCCCTTCGGGGATATAAAGGCGTGATTCTATGTCTAGATATAATAACATATAATGTTATGATATTTAAACACCCTAGAATGGAGAGGAGTTACTGTTGACTTTGGTAAGCAAAGCTCATAGCTGTTGGTCAGTGCGGACACTTAGTATTATTAGCTTCTCACATATGTGATATATAATAACACTATGTTGTCGGTCAAAGGTCACTGTCAAGTATAATTATGATTTCGATAATTCTACGTATATATTTTTCTGAACTCTTTTGAGTTTACCTCATAGTAGGCCACCTACTTCAAGCCATATAATGGGAATTACAACAATTTGCTTGACCGCTTTGGAATACAAATAGGTTTATTAAATAGAATGTACCTAATTGAATGCTAATGTAAATTCATGCTTCTCATGATCAGCATGTCACCGTACCCACATTTTGATTCAGACATTATTGGTATGATCGTAAGGGCTCTTTTTGCATGAATTGTAATAATATATTTTTTAAACAAGTGACACGAGATGAATTAGAATGTACATGATTCTTATAACCGATTCTTTTCCAATTTTAACAATGACGGTCAGGTAGTTTAGTTTGAAGACCTTGACATTTAGTTTTGAATGTTTCCTCTCAAATTGTGGTAAAGAAATACTGGTCAGTGGTCTCATCTAGTTTTGGATTGATGCAATTATACCGCTTCAACTTTAATTCGAGTCTTATTCTTAAGATAATAAAATTCTAATTTACCTGTAGATTATTTTTATTCAAGTTTATTGTTAGATTCAAAAGTTGATAGGGCATTTAGAAACTACACCTAGTGCATAGGTATTTTTTAACAAATGCTAAAATTAAATGCCTCGTTGGCCGAGTGGTCGCAAATGCGACTGCGGGGCAAGGGGTCTCGGGTCCGATTCCCGAATCGGGCAAAGTACGACTGGGTTTTTAAAAAAATCTCAGTAGTAACACGGAGTCTGGAATTGTGATATATGATAATAGGCTTACCCCCTATTACATGGGACTCATAACATAAATAGTAAAAGTGGGTGTTACATTTGCACGGTAGTATTATGCGCCGTTATGTGCACCTCTGCGTATCCGTACGGGGATAAAAGGCGTGAATAATAGCAATTCCGAGCGTATCCGCTCACGCCTCAAAAAGCCATCAGACCACCACGAATGAGGTCCAATGGGGCTGATGCCGATTCGGAGTCGCGGAGAACCTAACGGGTTACCAGGGCTTCGGCTCGAAGTGCAGGAGAAGGAACGGGGTGGTTTTTAGTCAGCAAGAGTCTGACACTCCCTCCCGCCTCACCCAGGCGGGAGCCATTCGATGATTTTCCCCCCTTAAAAAAATCATCTACCAATCCAGCTTCTCGATTGCCCCTAACCCGTATAATAATTACAAAGTCTTTCATTTGTCTTGCTGTGACCTTCAGTACGCATTTTTTTTATAGCCACAGCTCCAAAAGACGGGGTAATTTTTTAAAGTACATATATTTGCTAGCAATCATTATTTTGTAAGTACTCTTATTAAATCGTTTGGTTTACTTGTGGTTAATATATGCGTATAATAAGTATTTGTGGTTTTATAAAAGGTTTGGGATTTACTTAGTCGAGTTATGTCCAAGGTCATTTACTTGGACTGTCACTATCGTTTTGTTTTCCGCAACTTTTTGTTGAATGTTGTATTTCTGAGATATACCACAGGCATCTTGACTATTATTTCATTTGCGTGGTATAAGTAGGTACTGGTGGTTTAAAATAATAATGGAAATTGCTTTTGCCTATCAGACTATGTCGTTGATTAGCGTTGGCTACTTACGAGTATCACTCTTTGTGTTGCAAATGTCTACAAGAGCATTTCTTTTCTCATAGACCAGCTCTAAGACAGACATACTTGCTATTTCAGTTGAATAAGAAAAAAACAATCACTTTTGTTTCTATAAGGAACATACAGAGAGACTGACAGACAGATAGACAGAGAGCCAAAAATTTTACTGGTTGCATTTTTGGCATTAGTATCGATCACTAATCACTACGGCACTTCCGCAACGAGTTCGCCCTTATATCGGCGATAATATCGCCGCGATTCTCTCGCTCGTGAAGACAGCGCCTACCTGATAGTTATTTTGAAAATATATTTCATGTACAGAATTGACCTCTCTACAGATTTATTATAAGTATAGATTTAGCTGTTGCACCCATGTTTACAATGGAACAAATCTAAAAATATGTGTGGGTGCACCCACCAATTCTGCGAAAATGTGGCATAATAATAATGATCTGAATAATGTATTGGTATATAATTAACACTTAGGACTTAATAAAAAATGTACACTAGAATGACGTAAGCAGGATTGCATTACAGATTATCATAGTCGATTTCATATTTAGCACCTAACTATGAGTATAGGACATTCTCTATCACGTTAGTTGAACTTATCAAATATCATTGGGTCACACGTGAGAATTCATTTGGTAATTTGGACGTACGGTCAACGACCTATAGCTAGTATGATATGGATGGTATAGGTATGTAAGACCTTTTATATTAAAATTTCAGTTCAATGGAGAACCTAGAAGTTACCTATGAGGTATTTAACAGTTACATTGCTGACTACACCACGGGCTCATCGGTCCTTTCCATTTTTTTTATTTTAACGCGTCGAGTACCGTCATTGTAGACACAATTATAGAACAATAGGTTGCGGTCACCGGTGACCGCTTGGTGTTTGACAGTTAAAATACGTTTCCCCACACTACTTTCTCCTGTGTCGGGGGTGCGTTTATAAACATACAAGTTTACATACATAATAACACCCAGACCCAAAACAACAATTTGTAGATTACACAAAGAGCTGCTACGTGCGGGAATCGAACCCGCTACATGCTGCGTGGCAGCCAGTAGCTCAGCCACCGCGCCAACCGTACAGTCGTTATTATTTTACCTAATAATAAGGTTTACGATATGACGTACTTACTACGTAGTAGTGGCCTTATAGGTCTTTATACATTGAAATCATCATAACAGAGATTATTCTAATACTGTGTATTTAATGAGGGTGTCAAATAAAAAGTTTGAAGTGTGGAAGAGCCATGCTTTGGCACGAATGGGCCGGCTCGACTGGAGTGATACCACGGCCTCACAGAAAACCGACGTGAAGCAACGCTTGCGTTGTGTTTCGTCATGTGAGTGAGGTTACTGGAGGCCCAATTACCCTCCCCTTCCCCAATCTCTCCAATTCCTGAATCCCCAACGATCCTCAAACTCCTGTTCCCCAAAAGGCCGGTAACGCACTTGTAACGCCTCTGGTGTTCCAGGTGTCAATGGGCGGCGCCGATTGCTTACCAGCAGGTGATCCGTCTGATCGTTTACCGGCTTATGCCATAAAAAAAAAGTTATTGATAACTTCACAAAACATTCAATGCCCAACAAGCTTGTCAACGTAACACTTGAATGTGGACCAAATTAACTCGAGATCATATTATCATTAATAATGAGTTCTGAATTCTGATACAAGCAAAATAAACTTGATAATTATTGTTAGCAATAAAGTTGGCTGATGTTAAGAGGTCACCAAAGCCTAAGTAGATACATCTCGAACATCAAAGGTATCACTAATGAGTTACAGACCATGCAGGACACTATTTAAATGCACCATCTATTGCCGATGATGATGGTGCAATTAAATAGCGGTATTATAATAAATATCTGTAAATCAAAACTCAAAGGATCAGATTAGACAAAGCATTGCACAGAACAAGGCTACCCATTGTCCTAGATGAGCCATAAGCGCAACGCCTTGTCGTAATGCAAGGTGACATAACATGCTACGGTATGACACAATCAAAAGTAAAGGGGTATCAGAAATAAAATCAAACTATGTCGCATCTAGATGTTAATCATTGTGATAATGAAGAACATTTTTTATGTAATAGTCCTTTCACCTTTCGTGGAGAAGCCAGATTATAACTCATATTCACTGCTTATAGAATGTTACGCCTATTTTCTAATATGGTTGGATATATTTAGCCACATATACGACGGATGACGTCGTTCATCATCAAAAAGAAAACACTGTGGTCAAAAAATCTTGAACTAGTTTTTCAAGGTTTTCGAGATTTTTGACTTTGTAGAA